TGTAAAATCTTGTGATAATCTTCCGGATCCGTTAACCAAGGCCTTGGCGAGAGATAGGGTCTGGAATACATCGAGGGGGATGGGTTTAAAGCCTATAAAATCATAAACCATGTATGAGGATAACCAACCTAGGGACCAGAGATCCTGTAACTAAGTTCAATGGGAAGAATGAATCATATGGTGGTTGTAAAAATGCACTTTTTAATATTTTGTTATCCATCCCTATGATGTAAGTGCATTTGTCCTGTAATGTTGGAGGGTTGAGTTTTTATACTCTTAATGAAATTCTGTAGCTCTTGTTGAGTGGGGTGTGTCAATTACAGGAACATCCTTGACAGATTTCACCTATGTGAGCATGAAAGTGGGGCCGCTTTCTATGAGAACAAGGCTTATTCTCAAATATGCTTATGAAAACTGGGATTAGCACAAGGTCGTAATGTGCTGGCTATTAAAGTTCATGTTAACACCTGGACTATTATGTGTGAGTAGTAATACTTTATTTCCTCTAAGAAGTTATAGTTCAAGTCTGAGACCACTACTGACTCTGGAGTAGAGGTTGCTGTTTCACTAATGAAGGTTCAATGCAGAGCACACCTTCATGATGCATACTAGTCTATCTTTGTTTGGTAATCTCTTTTGTCCTTGTTTGACATTAAAATGAGCGGGGGATTGTTGGTTCATTTTAATATCTTTTATTTATTTATTGATATATCTTGTTCATGAATGAAGTTTCATTACTTTGGTAACCTCTTATCTTGTTCATGAATGGAGTTTCATGACTTTGGTAACCCTTTATCTTGTTCATGAATGGAGAGTAATTAGAATCCATGAACTTGGTGGTGAGTTAGTTTTTGGCGTTACTCCATTTACTCTAGTTTAATGATCATCTTTATTTTTGGTGTAACTTGTAAGGTCCTAGTGGCCTATAAATAGTTCCTCTCATCTACTTTTTTCAAAACGAACACACATCAACTATTTTCTATACAATAGAGATTACTAGCAAAGAATGATGTTTTTCTTGGTGGAGTTTTGGGTTCACCATCTTGTGCAAAGTTGGCTTGAACCATACGACAAGTGGTCGGGCTATTGTATCCTGGAGGGGACAAGTCATAGTTTTGTGACTGCTGCATCGGTATTTGGGTTCTTCATACCGCAGTGGGTTTGATCTCCTTAAAGAAAACGAGATATCCGTGCCTCAGCCTGATCTATTTGTATCTCATTTTCTTTGCTTCATTTATCAATAAAATATAATTTTTTCCAGTATTTTCACCAACACTTAGTCTCTTTATAAAATTACTATTTCCTCACAATGACGAATGATAATTTCATTTATAATATTTTTTAGTAAATCAAACGTGAAAATAACATTATGATGGAATGATTACCCCATTTAAATTTATTTTAATAAGTCAAATATAATTTAAGACTGAAATAATTAACTAAATATAACTTAAGATGAAAATTATTTTGAAATCCTATTTTTTGGACAAAATTTGGAGGTCCAGCCAGCCCTGATGGATAATTCCTGATTGGATGGTAATTTCATGCATTAACGATATCTTATATTTACCGTTTCCAGCCACAACAACAATCCAAAAATTATTATTCATTACATTACATGAAATCGAGGAAAAAAATTAAAAAGAAAAAAGTCAACATTATATCATATAATCTCTTATGAAAAATGTTTGAGACATTAAAAAAAGGATAATATCATAATTTAATCATAATGATATGATATGATAGGTATAAAACTCAATTTCCTTATCACAGTATTGTGGATAAATTTATGAACACAAAATTGTAAGTCTAAAAACTTCTCCTTTATTATATACAAAGTCAACATCGGACATCTCTCATGCTATTTTTATACCAATTTTTTTTTGTTACAACTAACGTATTCATAAAATTTCGTTAAGTGTTAACCTCCGCACCCTTGCAAAGTATCAAATTCTTACCACTTGAACCTATGACCTCTCCTTAGGACTGAACCCTTAGGAGACTCATGGTGACCAATTAGGCTAGGCCTAATTGGTTTTAAAAAGATAATAATAATTTTGAAGTTTGACAAATTTATGTGGAGAGTAAATTAAGAAAAAGTAGAGCCAAAATGAAAAATATATATATTTTAAAGGTCAAAGGGAAAAAAATCGCGAAACTTTAGGAGGCAAAATATAATTTATCTAAATTTCTTATATAATGTATTTCTTATATCATGTAGTTGTCAATGCGACAGTTTTTGTCTACAATTTAACAAAATTAATTTTGAAATAAATTGAAAAAATACAAATATTAAAAGGGAGTTTTTTAAGTAAGTCTCATTCTTAAGACTTATGTTCCAACTAACTCATATTCTTTTTTATTTCATTAGGTCCTATTTGGTGTAATATGACCAAATCACCATTCTAACTTTCTGCATTTATTTCTATTTTGAAATTAATACACAATAAAAAATAATAATTATTCCTTATTCCATGGAGAAATTCTTTCCTTATTTTACAAAGAGAATCTCTCACCATTTTAGGGAGAATCTCTTCATTCCAGTGAGAAAATCTCTCCCTTATTCTATGGAGAAAATTTCTTCTTTATTGTAAGGGAAAAAAAAAATCTCTCTTATTTTACAGAAAAAATTTCTCACATTCTCAAAATCCTAAATCGTCTACCTTTTGAAAATCTCTCACTAAATGTTAATGTAAACTTTCACATTAAAAATGCATACTGATAAATAACATCTACTTATGGAACCATACACACACTCAATATTGCATGAGTGTGTGAACATTAACATTTGATACAATTACCTATTTGTATTACTGAATTAATGTAAACATTTACATCTCTATGTACACACTATGTTTCTAACCAAATTACACATTATTGTTTGGGCTAGTATGACTACTAATATACAACTAACCTTCAAAAAAACAAAACGTATACAAAAGTACAATGTGAATACTCATAATAAACAACAAATATAAACAAACTTTCAAAAAAATAAAACTCATATAAAAAAATGGAAAATGTTTTTTCCCTCGAAATTTCCCACCCGAATAGCCCGAAATGCAGAAGAAAGAGAGAGAGATGGAGGAGGATCGTCGCCCGCCATCGCCTGATCGTCGCCCGCCGTCGCAACTCGTCGCCGCCGTCACAGCTCGTTGCCTCGTCGTCGCAGATCGTCGCAGCCCCGTCGTCGCCTTCGCCTCGGCCTCTGCCTTGCAGCTCCCGCCTCCAGCCCGATTTGTTGGGCCCCCTCCAGTCCTCCTCCTTCTTCTTCCTCACCCCTCTTCTTCCTTCTTCTGAAAAAAAAAGAAAAATTCAAAAACGACGTCGTTTTTTGAATTAGGGGGATTCAGGGGGCTCAAATTCGAGCTTCCTAGCACAATTGAATATTCACAGTTTACAATTAACATATAACTACCCTTAAAAAACTAAACTCATATTAGTTTGAACAATTACACTGCAACATTAAAACATAAAACAAAAGTGAAAATCGACTATTTTGATGGTCCAATGGTAACAAAAATGATTGTTCAAGCAACAAGTAGAGTAACAAAAACAATAAACATATAACTAACCTTCTAAAAAACAAAATTCATACCAAAATACATTGTGAATATTCATAGTTTATAATTAACATATAATTAGCTTTAAAAATTAAAAAAAAAAAAAAACTAAACTCATACCAATGAGAATATTCATATTGCAATGTGAAAACACAAAACAAAATTAAAAAAATGGGTAAAAATCGACTATTTTAATTATTTAATGGCAATAAAAATGATTGTTTAACCAAGAAGTATGGTAGCAACCAAATGCACAACAAATCATCAAACAATATATAAAAGATCATCAAATAGTTCATATAAATTGACGCACCTTTTTAAAAAAATCTATATATAATTAACGTCAGTATAATACCGGCGAATAAACTATACAATATCGGTGACTACACAAACTGACAAAGAGACTACAGTTTATGTATAACAATGGCAAAAAAATGATTGTTCATTGATGATTTATCATCATCTCTATTGTGAATCCATCATCATCTCTATCATTGGTCTATATGTACAACTAACATTCTCTTGCAAATGTTTTTTCATGGCTGGACTTTAATTGTAAAATAATGATGAAGAAGGATTTTTGATTAAGTGAATCCCTCAAACATAATAATCTTCAATGTTTATATATAATATTTTATATATATCATAAATAAAATATATTCAATAATAATTTTCTCTCTCTTACCTCTATGGTAAAATTTATATATATATTAAAGAGTTATAAGGATAAATAGTTCACATAATAATTCTAATTTGGAAAAAATGACTTATTGGAATAAAAGTTCAAATGTATAAGATTAGGTGGAACACAAGATTACTTTGTGGACTTATTAAATTATAAATCCTCCAAATGAGATTTATAAATAAATTTCTCATATTAAAAAGAGTCAAAGTAAAAAACATTCAAAAAATTTAAATAAAAAACTATAAATTTAGGAAAATATTAGGGTATGTACTATATGCAGGTTATGTTATTTGTGAGTTTGATTATCACAAATAATATAACTCAATATTATAAGAGTCATAACCAAAAAAATAAAAATAAAAAATTGAGTTATAACTAAACATCATATGAAATATAATTGAACAACTCTTGAAACATAATGAAAATTTTATCATGACTAACAATATAATAAATCGTAATATTAACTCAAGGTGGTGACCAAATATGCAAATGATACACATCCTAAAAAAGGTGTGCATCATAAAATTTTCCTAAAATTTAGGGTAATTATTTAGTAATTCCCGAATATAGACACGTGATATTCCATAACATTGTAATTGGTAGAGAAAGTGAGTAGGTGGGGTATTGTGTTGGGTGATTGGAGATTATGATGGAATATATTGAATGATGATTGATTAAGAAATATGAATACGTAGTATTCCGGAAATATTCTATATTTTCCCTAAAATTTAGGGGAGGAAACTGTAATTTATTCTACTTTATATAACACTATATTCTCACATGGTTCACTCCAGGGCACTTAGAACTGTAGAAGAGGAAAGATAAAGAAAATTGGAATTAGGGTTTTAGCACTTCTCTTCTCTCTCTCTCTCTCTCTCCCTCCCCGTCCTTCACTGGTACGTTAATCTCTCAGAATTCCCGCTAAGTTTCTCTCACTAGCTTAATTACTCTTGTTCTTTCCACACGCCTTTGTATACACTGTATACATATTTGCAAATTAAACCCCAAAATGTTAATTCAGGGAATTAATCATAGAAATCTGGTTACTTTGTGATCATATGAACTGGAAAAAAAAAAAAAAAAAACCATTTTAGTGTTCTTTTTGTATGTATTTATGTGTTATTTTTATTTATTTATTTTTCCATTATAGGGTTGACCACTTCCAGTTTTTGGGTTACTCCAGGATTTGAATGAATTATATTGGGCACATACAATTATGTAGGCATAATGAACTGGGAAAAAACCCATTTCAATGTTATTTCTGTATGCATTTATGTATTTTTTTTCCCATTATAGGGTTGTCTCCTGCCAGCTTTTGGGTCACTCAAGGATTTGAATGAATTGTATTGGGCACATATAATTACATCTGTGTATATATATGCACTTCAATTAAGTGGTCGTAATGGTTTCGATGCCGTCGAAAAGTATATGGATGCATCGGCAGCAATGCCCATGTGGGGATTGGAAATGTTTTGTAACATATGAGGGAGATGCTGAAGACGCATCAGTAGTTTCCAAGTTGGTAAAAAATGATAATTTCTCAATTGAAGCAATGGTTTCACCTTATGTAGGAATGGTGTTTAAAAGTGATGAGGATGCGTTTGAGTACTACGGCAATTTTGCTAGGAAGAATGGGTTTTCAATTAGGAAAGAGCGCTCGAGGTTGAGCCCACAATTGGGTGTTTATAAAAGGGATTTTGTATGTTATCGATCTGGTTTTGCTCCAGCAAGAAAAAAACCTACAGGGGAGAACCATAGGGATCGGAAATCAGTTCGGTGTGGTTGTGATGCAAAAATGTACTTGTCAAAAGAGGTTGTCGATGGGGTCTCTCAATGGTTTGTCGTACAATTTAGTAATGTGCATAATCATGAATTATTGGAAGATGATCAAGTGCGTCTTCTTCCGGCATACCGTAAAATTCAGGAAGCTGATCAAGAGCGAATACTCTTGCTTTCCAAAGCTGGGTTTCCAATTCATCGTATAGTTAAAGTGCTGGAGTTAGAAAAGGGAATCCAAGGAGGACAATTGCCATTTATGGAAAGGGATGTTAGAAATTTTGTTCAAAATCGTAAGAAAGTGGTTCAAGAGAATGAAGTTTTATTGACTGAGAAAAGAGAAAACGATACGTTAGAGCTTCTTGAGGTGTGTAGGGCCACAAAAGAAGGGGATCCTTATTTTGTTTATGATGTTACCGTGGATGAGAATGAAAAGGTTGAGAATATTGCTTGGTCATTTGGGGACTCGATTCATGCATACACCATGTTTGGTGATGTAGTTTATTTTGACACAACATATTGTTCAATCACCTATGGCATGCTTTTTGGAGCATGGCTTGGCATTGACAACCATGGTAAAACTATCTTCTTTGGTTGTGCTCTGTTGCAAGATGAAACAGTGCGTTCTTTTGCATGGGCTTTGCAGGTTACTAACCAAATTCTCTTCTTGGTTTTACATATGTTTTGATATTCGCTCCTGCCAAGCTCATGATTTTTATTTTTATTTTTACTTGACACAGACTTTTGTACATTTTATGAAAGGAAGATGTCCGCAGACAATTCTAACCGATCTGGACCCTGGGCTTAGAGATGCTATAAGAAGTGAACTACCAAATACTAAGCATGTTATTTCTATTTGCTACATTCTGCCCAAACTATCCTGTTGGTTCTCTCTCCCACTTGGACCCAGATATACAGAATTTAGATCTGAGTTTGATGTGCTATATCATCTGGACAGCACTGAGGATTTTGAATTTCGATGGAATCAGATGGTTGGTCAATATGGACTTAGTTCAGACAAACACATTGCACTACTCTTTTCCTTCCGGACATCTTGGGCATTACCGTACAAAAAAGGTTGCTTTCTAGCGAGAATGGAAACAACAGAATATTCTAAGTCTGTAGATGCTTTCTTGAAAGGGGTCTTTAGTGCACAAACATGTTTGCGTAGTTTTTTGGAGCAGGTATTGTTTATATAAATTCCAATCTAGTTAGTTAGTATTTTTTATTTTTTATTTTTTCTGATACTTGATCTGTATTAATCATTATTTTTGTGTGGAATCTTTTACAGGTTGGGATTTCCTCGTCTCTTAAAATTCAGACACGTGAAGAGATGCAGTATATGCATTTCAGAACATGCTTACCCATTGAAGAGCATGCACGGACTATTCTTACTCCTTTCGCTTTCAATGCATTGCAGCATGAATTGGTGCTGGCTATGCAATATGCTACTTCTGAAATGACTAATGGATCACACATTGTACACCACTTCAAGAAGATCGACGGAGAGCGTCTTGTTATATGGATACCAGAAGACGAACAAATTCACTGTTCCTGCAAGGAATTTGAGTCCTCGGGAATCTTATGCAGACACGCTCTTCGTGTACTTTTAATGAAAAACTACTTTCAACTTCCTGAGAAGTATTTTCCAAGTCGGTGGCGGCAAGAGAAGTCACTTGTTCCTTGTGATGATCAGAATAATCAGAATGGCAATGATGAATGGTTTCAAGAATTTTATACCCTTACTGGAACTCTGTTCACAGAATCATCAATCACAAAGGAGCGTTCTGATTATGTTCATCGAGAACTCACAAAAGAACTTACAAGGCTCATTAGTGAGGTGAGAAATATGCCAACTACTGATGGAGTTGCTATGGATTTGACTCTTTCACCCACTGTTTAATTTGTAGAACAATTGTGATGAAAGGGCCAAAATGAGTAGGAATTCACAGCATAGAAATTTTTATAAAACAGAGACTAGTTTTAGATATTGGGCTAATCAACGGGTACATTTTAGAATACTGATCTTCATTTGGTCACCAACACGTCTTCAAGATGAATTGTTACCGAAGGTTCCGAAGGATATGGTCGAGGAAAATAAAATAAATTTTCTAAGATTGTGTATTCTATAGAATGTAATTAGCTGAGCTTTTGAAGAATGAAGAGGTCTTTTTAATGTATATTTTCCCTTACTGTAAATAGTGCATTTTTACCAGCTTACTTCATTCGAAAGGTGTAGCAATTATCAACTTGGATTCTGGATTTTGGCTTCTGCATTCATCTGTTCTTCAATGCTTTTCATTTTCTTTTCATGTAAAAGACTTTTTTAAGTAGTGAATTCAGACCAGTACAGATTATTTGTATGTTTCAACTTAAATAGGTGAAAAGTTAAATTGAATCATGCTGCATAACCATGGTGTCCATGCTTCTTTACATTGAGCTATTTGCTCGATTCCTGGACCAGTTCTATGAGAAGTTTGAGTTTCCTTTTCAGTGGATCTAAACCATGCTCTTTTGAGGCTGTATAAGCTTTCTGATGGAAATTCTATTAATGGTCACATGAGGTAAGATTTTGTATATTTTTAACTACAAATACTACTACTACTACTACTTCAATATTTGAAGTTATGACATTTGCAGACTTGCAGTCAAGCTTTATCTGGAGATAATTGGTTCCTAACTGCTAGAATGTTGCATTTTCCTTGCATGAACTGCCTCAATCTTGTTATAGGGTCAAGACTCAAGTCCTAATATTTTATTTTCTACTTTCTGTGGTGTTAATTAATTGGTAAATTACACTAGCCTCCCTTGAGTCTGAAAAAATATATTGAGCTCCATAAGTTTGGCATAATTACATTGGGCTCCCTTAAAGTTTTTATTCATATCACACTTAGCCCTCTTTTCATCAATAATTCGCTAGTGATATGGATTGAAAAATTATACAATCATATGTTTTGCATTAATATGTATATTTTACCATTATTTATACCTATGTCTACAAAGTATCTACATTAGTTTCTGTAGCTTTGCCTTACTAAAAGAGGAGTCAGTGTAATTATTGTAATTTTTTTTTTTTTAAATCTTAGGAGTGGTCAGTGTAATTTATCCTAATTAATTTTAATTTTATTGTAGTCACGTCACACATTTAAATTTCAAAAATATTGGTAATGTCAAATACATCTCTGGTGCAATTTGATGAAAATGATATTTATAATGTTCAAACAGACATGTGAAGGATAATACATGGAATGAAAGTGGAAGCATTCTGATTATTATTCATCTTTTGATTATGAATTATAGTGATTTGCGCAGCCAAATTATTCCAAGGAATTCTCATTTGTTTCAAACCAGTAGCTGAAATCTCGCAATTTTCAATCCTTGATTTTCCCCCCCTGCGTGAGCTTATATCATATGAATATTTAGATTTAAAAAAAAATTAATTAATGACATTTCCTAGGGCCCCTGAAATAGTTGATCATCAAAACTCCAATTGGATCTAGTAAAGAACAAGGAAAGAGAAGAAAATGATCAAAAATGGCCTCTCCCTCACCCCTATAGCATCTTCAAGCAATTTCCCTTCATTTTCCTAGTTATCATTCATGAGGATGATTGCTAATAAAAGTTTCAGTGGCATGAGATTCAAATTTGCTGTTGTGATTCTGTGGGAGGTATACTCTCAGACACAAGGTCTAGAATGGAATATAATTGTTGTTTGCATCTTCTCTCTCTTTTTTTTTTTACTATTTTTCAGAAAAGAAGAGATATATGAGGTGAGTATTTTTTTTTTTTTGGGCTGGTTATAATGTTTAGTTTCTCATCTCAACCATAGGAGTAAAGCATCATGCATTTCTGGTTTGATCCATTGTGCAAACTTACAGGTTATTTGGCACACAAGATTCAGACATGGTTAATTTCTCCATTCAACTGATCTATGAATTATTGATGCTCTGAATGCAAATGATCCTCAAGTTGGATGACGAAGACCCATTATTTGCGCGCCTCAACAGCAAAAAAAAGAAATGAAGGTAGAAAAATTCTACTTGTTTAAAACTATCACAATCTCTTTAACTCAAGCTGTTTTTTAGTCAGTGAATGTTTTAACTGTTTTATACAACAATTATTGACAAGCTTGGCTTGACTACCCCGTTTCCACTTGCAGACAGATAGAGAACTGGCTTTCTCAAACTCACAAGGCCTATCGTCAATCACTCCCTGAGGCCCTCCTGCATCTCAATTTCAGAATTGTACTTGCAGTTGCTGGTAATAATGTTAGACATAGAAGCACGGACACAGGTATGGACATGATGGAACACATCGATTTTGAAAAAAATAAGATACGGACATGATAGAGATACGACAACAAAAATATTTTATATATTTTTATTTTCTTTGTATATGAATATAAATTTAGGGCAAAAAAATATAAGAGATATCAATGTATATGTGGGTGTATTTTTATTTCTTTTTTTTTCATTTTCTTTCCTCTTTGTTTATATATTTTACTTTGATCTCAAATCACCTTGCTAAAATTATAACAAAGAAGCTTGTGAAGGTGTCTTGAAGCATGTCTTGGAAAAGAAAATTTTAAAAATTGACATGCCAAGTGACATGTCCGACACGTGAATAAGTGTCCCTGGGGTGTCAGTGTCCCATAGACACTCATTTTGAATTGTTGATACTTCATTGGATAGGAGTGACTATTATTCATTTTGAATCGCATTCTGAAGAGGGTCCCTCTCGTGTAGAGAACCCCTTTCATGATATCTATTAAATTATTATTTAAATGAAGCAATATAGATTAATAACAATACTACGAATCCAGATTTAATTACTCAGAAATTATCTAAAATTATCATCTTATAATTCAAATTTAAGACTCCACACTATACAAATTTAATCTCCATCAAACAACCACGCATCCTGAAAAATCTAGGTGTACAAGTCTGGTTCCCAGACCTAATGATAGATTAATGACAAGGAGAGCCTCATTTCTAACCACATAATTTTATATTCTCACTGATAAATGGTCAGTGTCTGGCACAGTACTATGTTATAGATGACAAAAGGAAAACCCTTGTTGCATTATTGTCACAAAAACATCATGTACTCAGATCTTTTATTTGTTTATTTTCTTTTATTTCTTTCTGTTTGTTTGCCCTCAAATCTTGTATTTCTTGAACTACATTTTTGGGTTGGGAGATGTAGGACCCCTGCATCAAACTGTGAATGATGTTCTATAATTACCTCAATCATTTAGAGATGAACCGGTATCTTTTTTTAAGAGATGAACCGGTATCTTTTTTTTTTTTTTTAAGAGTCATTTGGTGCCTTTCACCTGTCTTATAGTCATAGGTTATGCTAAATGAGTTTAGCTGCTTGATTAAAATAATAGAATAATTAAAAAAACTAAAAATCATTAAATAGTAGAATAATTAAATGATTTTTTTCTTCTCTTACATGGTTTTGCAGGTAATGATCAGAAATCTTGGTAATTACTCTAAAAAATCATGTGAGTTTTTGAAGTGCCATCATTGTGAAAGTATAATTAAATTTTTGTATCTTCCTCTAATTCAGTGTCCCTCAAATGTCTATTATAGTCAGAATGTTGTTTTGCTCCAGGAATATTTGTGCTTGACCTTGAACTCAACAACAGTGAGCTAATAAGAACCTGTGCTGCAATTCCAGATAAATCCCTATGTTTGAAATTTCTGTATATTACAAGATCAAAATTAATATCCAGTAATCGTCTATTCTTCTGGAAAAAAAGGTTTAACAAGTAATCATGAAATTACAGTGATCATGAAAAAAACACATAATGATGCCATGCCTAAAAAAAGACTGAATCCATGAAGATCATTCATCGTTCAGAACACACATTACACAGCAATTGGTTGTCTTAGAGCATCAATCCTGATTTCTTCCTTCATCTTCCTTATGAATTCATCAAATGTTCTGTTTAGTTCTTCTGAACTCATATTTAATTGTGGAATCAATGACCCACTTGCTTCTTGTTCTTCATCATCTTCAGTTTCAGTGATCATATCTTGACTTTCTCTTCCATGTACCTTTATATCCATAGACTCATTTTCTTGTTTTTCTATCTTCTCCAGAGTCCCTAGAGTACTTTCCATGGCTGCTTCCTTATGTTGGAGTTGTGCTTCGGTTGTGTACAATGGCTTCACACCATCTTCATAAGAAGAGCTAGCAAAGCTCAAGTTTTTGGCGAGAAAAGCAATGATTCCGTTGCAAATAAGGAACATATACTTTCTCTCAAAAGTCTGGCTAAAAAGTGGGAAAATTAAAGTCGAGAAGTGAAATTTGAAGTAGTAGAAGAGGTGAGACAAGGTTGAGGAGTAAGAAAATAGGATTGATAAAAGAGAGACACAAACAAGAAACTTCAAAGTCATCTTAAGGAATTGGTGGTGCTTGTTGAACTGACTACTAGTAGTAGTTTGCAGCTTTTGTTTCTTATTCTGATTCTCATCCATCTTTGTCTCTCTCTCTCTCTCTAACCAAAAAAAGGAGGTTTTAGAGCTCTCAAGGGTTGTATGTATACTTTACTATGTGTTTAGTGATCAGTACTTTGGTTTGGTGTCTTTATATACGAGTTTGAGAAAAGTTATGAAGATAGAAAAATGTGAACATAAAATAAAATGTAAGGTTCAAATTCACATCATGGTTTTTGAACAGCTACAGTTGCATAGGATGTGTGAATAAGTTTACTTGGGTCTGACCCCCCCAAGTCAGTCGGTCAGTCAACTCAATTGCCATAATTATGTGAGAGAGGAGATTGGACGCCCCAAGTCGGTCAATTGCTATAATATGAGAGGGAGAGAGAATCAAAATTGAAGAATTTGCTTGGAAGATGCTTTGAAAAGAAGTTTCCTTTCTTTGAAGTTTCTCCTCTGCGACAGTGTTTATCAATACAGCAAGATTACAAACCCAAAGTTATTTATTTAGAATTTATCTAAAAATAAGAATTAATGATGTAAATTTATTTCACTTACAAATTGTACACTTAATTTATTCTTTACAGCACACCTATTTTGAGTAAGTTTTAGGACCCTAACATTTTTGTTATCAATAAATGACAAGACTTGTAAAAGTTGGTTCTTCATCCTCATCTTTATAGTCCATCTCTCTCTAGTTTTGTTCACACATTTATTGCTATATATTTTTTTACAACATTTTCTAACACCCTCTTACAATTTATTTCACCCAATTTAATCTTTACATCATGGGTGTTTGGTAGGACTTATAAACTGCTTATTTCAGTTTTTAGCTTAATTTAAGCTAAAATATTGTGTTTGGTGCAACTTAAGTTAATCGGATTATAGTTTAAATCAATCTATTTTTTAGCTTATCTCAAAAGCTGGTCAGGGGGTGCTTAAGATTTCAACTTAAGCGCGCAACTGGTGTTGGGGGGAGGGGGGTTGAATGACTTAAATGCCCCTCCAATTTTAAATTATTACAAGTGTACCATGTATATAAACCAAAACACACTCATTTTTGTCTCTTGCACGAAGGTATTTGGTGATTTTCGGCGAACCAGAGCTTTCTCTCTTCTCCTCTCTCTTGCACGAACCAATGAACCAGATCTCTCTTTTCCCTCTCTCTCTCTCTCTCTCTCTCTCTCTCTCTGTCTCGCACGAACCAAAGGCGGTGAAACCATAGCTCCTCGATCTGTTTCGCTACTGGAAACCGCACATGCATCGATCTGCTCCTCGATCTGCTTAGCTCCTCAATCTGAAACCCTAACGATCGCCATCGCCATAGCCATCACGATCTCGATCTGTTTCGCCGTCGTTGTTTCGCCACCATTGTTTGTCTCTGGTCCGTCATTTCACTGTCGTTTGGATTGTGTTTCGTCGTCGTCGTTTTGCCACCGGCGACTGACGGACGAAGAGGAGAAGGAGGAGCAAATTGTTATTTTATAATTAAAAAATATAATAAAAATTGAATTATTAATGTTAATTGACACTAATTAATAAATTAAAAAAATCAACAATTTTTATATTGGTATCAATATTAATTGGTATTATTTATTAATAAATTAATTATTAATTGATACTAATTAATAACAATTGTTGATTATTAATATTAATTGATACTAATTAATAATTTTACCATTAATCGATACTAATTAATTTATAATCAAAAAAATTTGTTACAACCATGACATTTTTATCAAATGTTTCTATTTTTTATATTAATTGATACTAATTAATACTAATTGTAATGACAATTGTTATATTATTAATTGTAATGAAAAAAAATTAATGAAAACAGAATCACAATTTTTTTAAAAAAAATTAAAATTGAAGAAAAAAATGAAATAACTTATATTAAATGAAATAAAAAAATGAATATTATAACTTCTATTAAATAACTAATTGAAATTAATATAAAGAAAAATAATATGTAATGACATTACAACATTAATATAAATACATGGATATTAATTGATATTAATTGTAATGAATTAATAAATTAAACAAAATTAACAAAAAGAAAGAAGAGAAGAAAAAAAGAAAAAAAAAAGAAGAGAAAAGAAAATAAGAAGAAAAAGAATTACAATTTTTATATTCATAAGGGCAAAAATGACAATTATACAACAAAAAGCTATTTTACAGCTTGTTTACCAAACACTACTCTACTGCTTATATCCATAATCTCATAGCTGCACCAAATAGGTTACCAGCTTATGTTCACAGTTGTAAGTTATAATTTGTTAAGTTATAATCTATAATTACTTTCTCACAGCTCTACCAAACGGGGCCATCATCACATTGGACTTATTTTTATTATGAGTAAGAGGTATGAAAATATTGTGAAAAAGGTAAGTGTGTGACCGTAATCTTACTCAATTTAAGGCCTCGTTTCTTTTCAGAGGTAGAATGGAAAAGATTCATAGTGAGGAGATTAATAGTAATGGCATTAAGTAAAATTATGTTTGTTTTGATGATAGTTGTTAGTGTAGGGATTGTTAAATTATTTTTATATAAAATAATAAAACAAATAAAAAAAATATAAAAACATTAAAAATTAATGTTAAAAAAAAAGCCCAACATGTAAAAAATAAAAAAATAAAAAATTTCAAGAAAAAATAAAACAATGATTTTTACTTAACAGAAATACAAAAAATTAATCATTAATGTTCAAAAAGAAAAAAAAAATCCCAACATGTAAAAAATAAATAAATAAATAAAAAATAGTATGGCTGACTAATTTCTAATACCAAGTCCCACGGGCCTATTCTAATCCCCTCTTCGAGGGGATTCGTAGTCTGAAGGGGATTATAAATCCCCTCTCTATCTCCCAAAACAAACATGATATTAGTATATCTCAACTCACTATGAATTCCAATCCTCTCCCTATAACCCAAAAACAAACGGGGACTAAGTGTGATGGACCTATCAATTTATTCATGATCACCACCCATAGGTGGAAAGAGTTCCCCTCAATACCTCATCTCTGTATACTTTTGCATACCTTTCTTCTTGACCTGAATTCAGATCTAGACCAACCAATCATATTTTATTTTATAAAATAAATGATTTAAATTTGTAATTATATTTGTTGTTAATTTTATAAAATAAATAGTAGTGATTTAGACCCCCCAAATTTCAACCCCCACCACCCCACACACACGTGGCGGGTGGTGATTGGAGGAGAAAAAAAAAAAGTGACCAATCAAAAAAGAAAGGGGGTCAAAGGGGGTGGGGAGAAAGGAGATCCCAATCTTTATTCTAAAATAAAATGCATTTTTTGATGGAACTGATTTTTTTTTGCATAGATGGACCATTATTATAGGGTTTACGAGATAGACGATTCAAATCATTAGTGCAAATCCAGATTGAGACCCACAAAAATAGTATGGACGGAAGCTTATCCACCAACATGTCTATCACAGTACTAATCATTTTTGGCTATTAGAATTATACGTAATTTTCATCAACTGTTTATTAGTACTATAATTATACGTATCTCTTAAATTAGTATGTAATATGTATACAAAATATGAAGACTTGTATAAGTAAATTGATTTGTATCCAAAATACAACTAAAAAAGAAATGAATACATACTCGGTTGAAGAATTTAAATGATAAATGAGAAATTTTATAAACATAAATATTAATTTATAATTAGATTGTTGGGATCACAATTTTATCTTAAATAATAAATAATAAATAATAAACAAGTCCTTTAAATATATAGTGTTATACAAATATTTTTTTATCCACTTCCCAATTCAATTTTTCATAATTCGTACCTGTAATACAATTGAATGTATGAAATTCATTACACAATTACACAATTTTATTTAATAGTTAATCTCATAATACAAATTTATTGAACCCACTATTGCATATTATTTACATATTATTGGTGTAAGAATGCATTAATATCAATATGTAATATATTTTTATATATCAAGAATTGTTGAGTCTCATTTCCCGTGCACCAAATATCTTGCATGATGAAAAATATAATATTAGTCATTAGCAAATTTTCATTTATGCAGAAAATATTGAATAATTTTTTTAAGAAAATGGAATGATATTGTACTTTAATAGTTCGATCGATATAGGAATTTCATAATTGTTTCAGGATGTTTATAGATCAATGATTATAAGTGTTTGCATGGTCACTGTTATGAAACAGTCAAGTTACATAATTTATTATACTATCTGTTAGTAATCAACATATGACAAAAATTAATTGAAACTTTTTATTTGATATACTTACTTTCTGTATTATTGAGTTGCTGCGATAATATTCGGGCATCATTTTGTTGTTCCTTGTAATCTGACTAAAATCTGTGCATGAGGTATATTATTTTTCTTGAACTTTACAATAGATAGGACAATTTATACTTCAGCCTGTCTAACTTTACTTGGAGAGCATGTTGCAATAAATCTTCTGTAATTTTTGTTTCACCATCTTTTTGTTTTTCTTCTTACTCACCATTATAACTCATTGTAATAAAAATATTTGGATGAGTAAGAGTTTAAGGTGATATCATATTGTTATGAATTTCAAAATTTTATTTTCCCTCAATAGTGTTTTTTTTTTTTTTTTGTGAAGGGAAAAAAATAAAATTATTATCGTGATTGAGGCATTTTGCAAAGTCTTGATTTGTTATTGAAAGTATTTATTAAGAACACTTGTTTATAGGGGTGAGCAGCGGATATACCGATTCGTCGCATTTTGGACAGATGCGTGATGACGAGTGGAAGATTGTAGATTGATTTTTTTTCAATCCGCCTAGTTTTGGACGGATGGCGGATTTGAGATTCCTTTGGCCGCAACCGAATTGCCAAATCGCGAGTACCCTTAGTAATTTGTAAGACTTTGTGTTTTCAATTTGTTTAGATATTCTGTTTGTGTTTTCAATTGAAAGAGAGTTTAAATATTCTGTTAAGCATATTTTGTTGAAAAAGAGTTTTCAACTTGAATATATTTTTTAAATTGAAAAAAATAAAT